CAAAATACCATAGGTTGTGTGGCTTAAACAACAGAAATTTATTTTCTCATAGCTCTGGAGGCTAGAAGTCCAAGATCAGGGTGCCAGCAGGGTTGGTTTCCTCTGAGGCCTATTTCCTTGGCTTGCTGATGGCCACCCTCTTGTTGCCTCTTCACATGGTTTTTCCTCTGGGCACACATATTCCTGCTGTCTCTCTGTGTATCCAAATTTCCTCTTCTTATAAGGACGCCAGTCTTACTGGATTAGGGCCCACCCTAGTGGCCTCATGTTAACTTAATCACCTCTTTAATGGCGCTACTCCAAATACAGTCACATTCTGAGGTACTGGGGGTTAGGACTTCAACATATTAATTTTGGGGGAAAGTAGGGAGACACAATTCAGCCCATAACAAATACTTACTTTAAGAATTACTTGAAAAAAAAAAAAAAGAATTACTTGAGTTTTTGATGTCTGTTTCCTCTGATGGGCCATAAACTCTATAAGAGCAGGATTAGGACTCTCTGTTTGCTGTTTTCTGTACAGTGCCTGTAGGTGCTCAGTAGGTATTTATGGAATGAATTAACTAATGAGTTATCTTTCCTTGGTTGATCCGAAATGAAAAGGATAGCTGCAGGACCTCAGGCTGGCAAGAAGCCGAAACAGAGCCCTTGGAACCATGCACCAAGCAGTCACCTTTTCCTGGCATAACCATCCCTCATGGATGGACTCAGTTCAATACGAATTGGTGTTGAAGGCCTACTGTGCATCAGACTTTTGTCTGACTTTACAGGATGGGAAGCTCCTGATAAGAGAAGGGGAAAGAGGTAGGGGTTAGTGTTCTGATTGCTTGTCCTTATGCCTTCCCATGGCTGGGCTTTGGAAAGTTACCAAATAAATGAAAGAGTGACATTTATTTTCTGGGAGTTGAATTAGTAGTGTGATGAATTAGTAGCTCTAATTCCACTTTCCCCTTCTTAGCCATTGTGACCCTGGTTCCAGGTCAGAGACTCAGAGGGCCCTGCTT